AGAAAAACAACTTTTGTCCAGCCTGAAAGACTGTCAGAAGTGACACTGGCCAGGATTCGGAGCCTCTTTTTCCAAACGCCCGGCTGCATCACAACCATCACATGGGACTTGATAAATTTTTCATGCCAGAATTAATCAATTTCAGTGGGCAGTTTTCCTCACTGGCATGTATCCTGCCTCCCTGAGGCACTTCATCTGTCACAGACAAACGGGATGGGGATTTGTGGATGTGCTAGTGGGGTGGCTCTTCTCAGACCCATCAAACTGCATTTGCACATGTCAGGTCAGGAGTTTTTGGGTCTCCTGGGACATGTGTGGGGCTTTCCAGAGGGGAGTGCCTTCTCCAGGCATGTAGGCAGCTGCTTCTTTTGATGGTGAGGTGTTTTAACCCCAGTGTAAAGTAAGTCACATGCAACTGCTCACTTATTCCATCACCAGCCCCATCCCCAGCAGTAGGTAGAATCAGGGAAGAAAAAAAAAAAAATGAAACTCATGGATTGAGATACAAACAATAATTGAAACAAAGCAAAATATAATAACAATAGTGAGATAGAGAGAGGTAACAATAATGAGACAGAGATAGAGCCGAGATAAGTGATACCCAATACAGTGGAGCACCACCCACTGACCAAAGCCCAGCCCGAGCAGAGATTGGCACCTCCTGGGCAATTGTCTCCAGTTTATATAGTGGGCAAGATGCTCTGAGGTGTGGAATATCTCTTGGGCCACTTTGGGTCAGCTGTCCTGGCCATGCTCCCTTCCAGTCATTTGTGCACCTGCTCAGTGGCAGAGCCTGGGAAACTGAAAAGTCCTTGACTTAGGTTAAGCACTACTTAGCAACAACTAAAACATCAGTGTGTTAGCAACATATTCTCAGACTGAATCCAAAACACAGCACTGTACCAGCTACTAGGAATAAAATGAACTGTATTCTGGCCTAAACCAGGATGGATTGGTTTTTTTGGAGCTAATGATTTAAATGTAGCATGGATTACTTTTATCATGCACGGGCATAGCTCAAGAAATGGAAATGTAATGGAAAAGAAATTTATGAAAAGAATGACATATACTAGGGGTTAATAAAAGATATTATTTATCCTACAAATACTGAAACAAGAAAAACGCTTATTTGTGAGAAAGATTATTGCAGTGCTCATAATCCAAGCAGCACAACAGGAAAGGAAAGATAAATGAGGCATTTAGTTCTCATGTTATGCATATTACATGACATTCCCACCCACATTTTATAAACCAGAAAAGTATATTAAAAATTAGGCCAAGTATGCTTCTGATACATGATAAGCATTAATATGAAATTGTAGTCAAAATAGTTCCAATCAAACTATATTATTTGTTTATTTATTATTTCATTTCTAGCACTACTAATGTCATAAAAGTTTTCAGCTTGAAACATGGGTAAAAATGAAACATTCACAGTATCTTTTTCAGAGGCTGGAAACCTCACGCTTGGAAAGATTTCTGCTTTGGAATGTCTGTAATATACTGAAGTCTTAATACCATTCTAATTGGTACCTTACTAATTAGCTTGTGACTAGAATTTTAATTAGATGCACAATAGGTGTTCTTCTTACCTGCAGTGGAGGAGCTATTTCCTGAGAAGAAAAGTGAAGGGAAAATGACAGTGAAAGGAATCCATACAAGACAAATATAATCTAATCCCTATTATAAGAAATGTATACATTAATTACTATTTTTTTAAATTATGTCTCTGGAAATGTGTTCTGTTTTGTAAAGCACATTAAAGTTTGCTTTGTGATTTGCTTTTCTCCCTTAAAGAACAAATGGTACTTTTTTTCCTGTGATGTGACTTGTGCTGTGAGCAAACTGAGAAATACTGGAACACAACTGTAGTTCATTAGCTCAGGGCCAGCCCCAGGGACTGAGGTGGGCACATCATGGGCTCGAAGCAGGAGTCTGTAATCTGAGTTGAAGAGTAGAGCTGTGTACCTGTGAGCTGGGTCACAGGCAACAAGGCTGAAGAGGGAGATGCCCAGCATCTTGACAATGGCATTAGTTGAGCCTGGGCTGTAGCACGTTCTGGAGTTAAAAAGCATGTGAAAAGATGTGAAGATGCGGCTGAGTGAATTCCTGTCAATGGCAACTCAGAAGTACCAATACTCTGGTAGACGAGCATCATCTATCACTTTTGTTCTGTCAGGAAAAGACAGAAAGGAGGGATAGAATGTATCTGTCTGAAAGTACTGCCACCACTAATGTGCTCATTAGCTTAACGGCGTATACCCTGTTACAGAGAATTTTAAGATTGTCATTTGGGTGAAAGCTGTTTTAAAATCTGCAAAATATCTAGTGCAAGAAGAGTCCTAAAAACATAAATCTGAAGTTCCTCCCTTCTCTGAGGAAGACTGAGTTGTGGGATTATAAATATAAAGTTATTTGTCAGGCCTGGTAATCCCCCATAAGCCCAAGCAGTAAAAAGGGTGATTCAATTTCAGAAGGTAATGGGACATTCTGAAAAATGATGATCAGGTCCAGGGCATGTTTTCATATGAAGAGATATAAACAGTAAAAGTAAAGGAAGGATGAATTGCAGAAAACAGAAAAACAGTTAAAGAATTATTATTTTCCCCCCCACTAAAGGGACACTTTTAGAACAGGCTTTCTGAAGGAAGTGGAAAACATGCCATACAATTTGCATGATTTGAAAAATATTTTTTGCTACTAAATTTTGACTGGGAAAATTCTTCCACATGGTGAATAATGTCACAGGTGAGCCACATTCCATGCTCTGCAAGACATTTAAAAGCAATAGTTAAGGAATACTTTTCTCCAGGTGTCAATATGAGGCAAGTGAGAATAAAGTTGAACTCCGTAAGTTTTTGATAAAATTTGTAGCAATCACTCTTGAGACCAGTAATTACTTCACAAATGTTAGAGAACATGGGTGGAATGAAAACAGCAAATTATTAACTGGAGAAACATCTGTAAGATTTAAGTGTCAGTTGTGTCAAGAAGTGGAAGATTATGTCATCCTTGTGCCAAAATCAAATTATCCCAGTCTCAGTCAAATAACACATGTAGTATGTGGTCTGAAAACAAGTTGTAGATTGTGGAGTAATTTTGAATATAGGAGAAGTCAGAGAATATTATGATGGCCTATAACCAACTCTACAAGCAATAAATATTAATCAAAAATTGTGGTTGCTCTGAAGTATTCACTCAACTGCCCTGCTAGTAAAAGATACTATATTTTCAAAGGGCTTTATTAACTCACCTGTCCTATGAGATCTGGTCATTTCCCATGGCAAATTTGTCTCCTACTATGAGTTTTATTAGAAGCAGAAAGGAGTGGGGAGCTCAAGCCATGGTTAGTGGGATTATATTGCTTTTAATCTTTTATGGGCAGAGACTTAAGGCTGATTCATGTAAAAAAGATATTACTTCTTGCTGTCTAATTAAGATGCTAGTTGGGGCTGTCATATCTTGATGTATCTCATTTTGCAGGGAGGTTTGAGTCTTCCCTGACCCTCCAAGACACCACTACCTCAGACCAAAGGCTGAGTGACCACTTGTGTGAAGCACTATCCTGAGAGCTGTTATCTCTGCAGAAAGGGAGGATACATTAGCTCAGACTGCATGCCATGCTATGCACATCCCTGTCATTCCCGGACAAATGGGAGCACACTTGAATATGAGGTGAACTTGAATATCCCTGCAAGGAGGCTGCATGCATACCCTTTGTCCACTTCCTAGTGGGACTACTGCTCACATCTCAAAACATCCACCACAGATAGCACTTTAGCAGAGTCTTTATCAGTACTCTGAGAATTGAATAGGCTACTTGGAAAAGGCAATTATAATGTACCACCACTTCATTTGAACTGTGCAGTTTGAAAGGAAAAAAAAACCACAACAAAACACCTCTTATGTGATTGCCTTTCTGTCTTTGGAAAATAAAAGGAAGTGGATTTCTGTCTTGAGTTCTTTGGTGATGGTAGACTTCAGCATCCAGCACTTTTATCCTTCCTGTTGTATACATATGGAGGTTTGCTATGGGATGCAGTGCAATATTTTTGATTGCCGGCTTCTACAGAACATCTCCTTTATAACCTAGGTAGTGTGATGCTATTTTACACAGTCTAGTTGACATGAGGATGAAGATTAAAATGCAGGTCAGAAGTTCTAACCAGACTTGGCAGGCAGGAAAGGATATTGGTTCGACAGGGTAATTACCCATAGGAAGTGGTGATGCTGACACTAGTTTTAATTTTTTGAGTGCTGCTAAAGATGTTTATCTTCACTCTGAAAGCTTTGGTCTTTTATAGTTTGAATGCTGGCTGTGAGAGAAGCTGTCACTTTTCTCTTTGCTCTATCCAGCAGTAGTGCTCTTCAAAATAGTCGAAAGATTTTTTTCATCTGAAAACAGAAGGAAAATATATTCTTACTTCTGAGTCTTTTTGTGAAACTCATTTAATCAGAGATATACTGTCCTGAATTTGAATGAATTGGGAGAGTGTTTGCTTGAGTAAATAACGTGTATTATGTTATGGAGTAGAGATTTAATTGCTGTTGTTTGGTTTGGTTTTTTTCTGTCTCCTCCACACGGAATTGGCTAGAACATAGTTTTTGAGACTATAAAATAATATCCAAATCTTTTATGATTTCTTCTCTCTTACATAATTTAAACTGAGGATTCCTTATTTAAGAAAACCTAAAATGAATTTCAGAGCTTGTGTTATGTAAGCCAGTTAGTTACATCAAGCAGAAAAACTGAACACTGCCTTTGGGAGAGAGGGGCGGGAGGGGGAACAAATGCTTGAAAGCAGAGTCCAGAGAATGGAGGACAGTTTGGGGACCAGGTTCTGCACAAACCACGCCACAGAGAGGCTGGCAAAAGGCATCAGATACACGTGGAGCACCAGTCAACCTCAAAGGTTCTTCAGGATCAATTTTGGATGCTTATGTATATATTTTCAGTTTGGGAATAATATTTAATGTTTCCACATGATTCTGTCTTCCAGAATGATTGAAGATTGTGGGAAAAGAGGAAATACCATGGCAGAAAGAAGGCAGCTGTTTGCAGAAATGCGTAAGTACTTCCTGGAAATGTTTTGCTGTGATAGACCAAGCCAGTTGCTATGCAATGTCAGTAAAATTTATGCAAGCTTTCCACCTCAGATCTCCCTTGCACAAATGAATATCATGAGACCAAAACGCATGAAAATGGGCTGATTTGACCAAAGCAGGAGAGAGGGGTTTTCTACATCAGATTTTTTAATTTAATTATTTTAATCCATAGTTTTCTTAAGACAAAGATAATGGAGTACACAGGTTGCAGTGAAGAGGGATAAAGGTCTCCAAAGCTACATCTTCTTCTGGAGGTATCTCTAGTGGGTTGACCCCAGCCAGCTGCCAAACTCCCACATACTTGCTTAATCTCTAACCAGCCCCCAGAAGAATGGGAGAGAAGATAGGGAGAGCAAAAGCAAGCAAACTCATTGCTTGAGATAAAGACTTGATTAAGTGGCAGAAAGAGAGGGAAAAAGATTACAACAGAAACCAAGAGCCAGTGATGCAAAGGTGGCTATTCCCCACTTCCCAAAAACAGACTGATGTCCAGCCCCTCATGGAACAGTGTCTGCCTTGGAAGAAAAACTCCCCACCTCCTTCCTTCCCTACCCCAGTTTTATTGCTGAGCATGACATTATATGGTGTGTACTAATCTTTTGGGCAGGTGGGGCATCTGTCCTTGCTGTGTCTCCTCAGCCTCTTGCCCATCCCCAGACAGCCCTGGGAGGGGACAGAGCAGGAAACAGAAAAGCCTGGGTGCTGTGCAAGGACTCTTCAGCAACAGCTGGAACAGCGGTGTGTTATCTGCACATTTTAGCCACAGACCTGAAACACAGCACCATGCAGACTGCTATAAGGAAAGTTAACCGCGTCTCAGCCAGACACAGTACAGGGACTCATGTACTTCATACCCCACTTCAGTGTAATTTTTTTTTAGTTCCTAATGAAGTCTTGTGCTTCCTGCATGATAGTGCACCATACCAGCAATGCTCCTGCACTTCTGACAGTCAACTCTAATTTATCTTACAACCAATCCACTGTTTCTCCAGGAAATTCTGTTACATGTCACGTTTGAAACTGTCACTCTGTTACTAGATTTACCTGAGTTTTGTGTGTAATTACTAAGCTTCCTGTTGTTTGTCCCTGCCTTGTAGTAAACTGTGTCAGAGCATATCCCTGATCTTTTGTGGCAGACTAAGATGGGCATTAGTGGGACTGGAGTTATTGTATGTAATGAAAGGCCAGGTGTGTGCTGGTGAATTCAGTGTGTGTGAGTCCTACATCTGAGCTCTCCAAATTAAAGACTTCCCACTCAGATGGTCTACCAAGAACTGTTTTGGCCCATTCCACAGTGCCCACTAGCTCTGTTGTGCCCTGTAATTGTTTTAGGATCACACGGCACCTGCTGTTGTAATTCATGAATATTCCTCACTGATCTTTTCTCTCTGGTGCCCAGTGACAGGACCTGAGTAAATGGAATGAAGTTGTGTCATGGGAGGTCTAGGCTGGATATTAGAGAAAGGTTCTTCACCCAGAGGGTGTTTGGGCACTGGAACAGGTTCCCCAGGGAAGTGGTCACAGCACCAAGCCTGACAGAGCTCAAAAAGCATTTGGACAATACTGTCAGGCACATGGTGTGATTTTTGGGAGTATGCTGTGCAGAGCCAAGAGTTGCACTCAGTGATTCTTGTGGGTCCCTTCCAACTCAGGATATTCTTTGATTTGGTTGTCTCTTGTGTACAGCACCTTGGAACCTTGGAGGAAGGTGTTGTACTTTGGCCAGAATCAAAAAATATATTTGTCCATTATCAGAACATGCTGTAGTTTTAATTATAATTACAGAGGAGCCTTGATTTTTTAGCTAAAGTTGATAAAATAGGTACCATTCATTTCAGTTAATTTTAAATACTCCTAAAATATCTAGGACTTTGCTGTGAGGATTTGTGGTTTGTTTCCACAGTTTTGAAGGCTGTTTTGATGTTGGATTGTTTTGGAGGAATTAAGGAGGTGTTGGAAACATCAGCAGCTGGAGGCAGAGGAGGGACTATTTTCCTATATTATACACTAGTAGTTATAGTCTACTATTTTCTTCTTTCACATTTTAGTATTTTGGCATACTTCAGTCTGGTTCATCTCATGTGTGCTCCCCTTTTCTGTTTGCCTGCCTCTGTTCCTCCACCTACTACCTATGTACACAGAGAACTGGACGTTCCAACTAGGTAAAAATAGGGGAAAAACTAAATGTATTTTAGCCACATGCATAAAACACTGAACTTTGCATTCTGAGAGCCCATCAGATACCTCTGTGTGTGGAGGGTGTGCTTCACTGAAACCAGAGTTCATCCAGGGATTGCATTCAGCTGCATGCAAGCCCACACTTTACATGTGTAACAAAAAACATGTGCTCCTGATGCCCTACATATTGTGGGCCATGTGAAGCTTCTTAATCTTCTGATAGGCATAAGCCTATGGTAATAGGTAAGCTCCACAACCTGCCCATATCAGAGGGAGAAAATTTGTAATATAAAGGCTTTTGCCAGTGGTTTTGTTTCTTGGGATCTAAATCTACAAGTCTGTGATTAAAACCCCGCAATAATTGTACAAAGTGGGCCATATTCCAGACTACACAAGATTAAAAAATGGGGGGGAAAATGAAAAAAGAAATCCAACTTTTCAAGCCTTTTTAAGTGGGAAGTTTGTCCTGAACAAGGAATAGAAGGATTTGATTCTGACTTTAAATTTGGAACATTGTGATTTTCCCTGTATTTTGAGAGGTCCAGTTTGACCTTTTTTGTTTCATTTCCTTCAGAAGAGGCATCCTTCTAGTTCCAAATTACAAACATTTGTGAATTGATACCATAATCATTATCACCTTTTGTAGAGTCCTGTGGTTAAAGCTTGTCTTATTACTCAAAATGTTCTATTGAACATCAAGCTGCTAGGTCTTAGTCTTACCTTAGTCTGACCTGACATGCCCAGGTATATCCACACTGATGAAGATTTCAAAATGTACATCACTGTTGGCACATATTATCCAGCAGGAAAACAGCAGCCAAAGTTGCAGTGTGTCCCTTTGTTATTTTTGCAACTGCCAACAGTGTTACTTGACATGAGCATATTCAAAGGAAACAAAGTGAGGCACTGCCAGCAGGCAAAAGAAAGGAGAGGCCACTGACAATCCTGGAGGGAAGTTACAAATTTGCTGTCTCATTTGCCATGCTCAGTTCTGGACATCTTTCCACTTGTTTATCAGGACTCTCCATCATGTAAGTGATGGCACTTTTCTACAGAAGTTATTTGACAAATAGATCTCTGACTGTGGCAAAATGTGAATCATGACAAAATTAAATTGTCTATTCCAGGGTCTTATCAGCAACACCTACTCCCCCAATAATATCAAAATAATACCATCTACTATGTGTGCAAATAGTAAGAAAGAAAAAAAAAGGCAATGTTGCCTACAAATTTGTTTATTTAGGATTATTATCGCAACCTCAGAAGCTCAATGAGCCAGAGTCTCACTTTGATTTCACTCTTTAAATCTTGTTAAAAGGCTGAAGTTTTATAAAGGAGCATTGGAAGTTTATTTATAGCTTTCACTAAAGTTAAGAAGGGAAAAGTTACATTCATTTTACTTATTTTTCCTGTTAAAAAGGAAAAGCTTAGTGTTGTAAGCCCTTTCACCTGTAAAGACATTTTCTTAAAGCTGTCAATGACATACTAATGGAGAAGGAAAAAAACCTGTGTAATTTTAACTATAGAAGATATAATGGAAAAAACTCACAAAAATACTTCCCATACCTGATGTTAAGTAGTCAAAGGTAATTTCTTCTAGGAGCAGATGGTGTAACTGGCAAAAGGGAGTAGCTTGGGAAGATGGTGTGGGAGAATTTGGTCAGGAAAAGAGCAGAATTCTCATTTTCATCTCAGAGGCCAGAGCACGTTTGAAAAATTTGGGTCCAAAGGATGGCCTTATTTAAGAAAGTCTGGGTGAATGATGCTGCCACAGGCAGAAGGGAAGCTTCAGGCAAGGTTTATCAGGGAAAGAAGCCCTCCAATTGAGTCACAAGGTACAGAAAGGATTCCCCTCTCTCTGGAAACTCCTTCTCAGAGAGTAGTCTGAGTAGAGCTCGATCCAGTCCTAGTCCCAGATTTGGTCAAGAGTTTATTTCTTAAGCATTATATAGATGTAATTGATACTTTATATGACTTCATCATGCAGGATTAAGGATAGCAAACCAAATATATTTATAGGAATAAAATAAATATTTATTTAAATTTGTGATAATTTTAGCAATTAAACTATTTTAATCAAAATTGTTTGCCTGATAGTATAGATATTTATCACTACTTATATTGAACACTATTTATTAAATAAATTATTTAAAAAGTAGCTTAATAATTATTAAGTACAGATTGGTGTTACTCACCCATATCAACACTGTGGGCATATCTCTTCCACTTGACCTCAGGGAATAACCTTGAGGAGTGTCCCCAGTCAAGGGAGGAATTGCCACATATGTATCCAGAAGGAAGGTGTTACAAGTCCCTGCCATTAAAAAATGGAACTGAGCTTTTATAGTATAGAGTGATTGACTGTCAGTCAAATGTTTCTAGGCTCCCCTTGCCAGCTCAGCAGCTTCAGATAAGTTATCACTACTATCACTTGTTGCTTCCTTTATGAGGAACTTTGTGTGCCACATCCTCCCCAGTGCTGATTTCTGCCAGGCAAGACTGTTTTTCATGTCCCCAGAAGGTTTAACTTTGGGGTTGTGGAGTCAGGCTGGTCTCAGCATTCCTGTACATCTAAAGCAGCATGATCCACCTTCTCCATCCATCACTGATAGCTTAAGCAAATGGGAGAAAATTTGAGCTGTTTTACCCCCATTTAGACAGAGTATCCTGCTACAGATGCTGATGTGGCCCTATGTTCTGCAGTTCAGCTGAGAAATCTTAAAGCATTTAGGAAGCTTGTGTAAAAGCAGGGCTGTATTCCACTCCTCTTACATCCTGACTGTACCTTGTTTGGATGAGTTTGTTGGACACTGCGCCAGGTTGTGCCCCCATACTGGCCCCTGTGTCCTGTTTGTGAGGTAGCTGCCACTTAGTTTGTTCCCATCTCTTGGACAGCTGCTTTGGAAATGTTATCAGATCTTTACGTTGCAGCAGCCAGGGCCAAGCTCTGTGTGGAGCACAGAGCTGACCCTCAGAGGTCTCCATTGCAGAGAACATACATCCACAAAATAGAGAAAGGCCACACACCCCGTGTCATTGCCTGCTTCTCCAGATTGCCATAAGCCTTTATGTTAAAGCACAGTATGTTTTCTGATTTGGTTTGCTGGCAATACCTTGCTCTGGTGTGGCACGTCAGCTAAAGATATTTGTTATGGGCTTTTTTTGCTGAATATTAAAATTCGACTGAGGTTTTCCCTGCTGTTGGAGCCTGGCCAGTGTGTCTTTTAGCCTGCAGCTTGACCAGATTGTTCTTCAAAGTGACAGACACAGTGGGCTGACTATTCCTTGCCTTCCTTTCTAAAATTCTTTTAACACTGTAGCTCCTGATATTCCCCTTGTTACTCCTCGCTCCTCTCTACTGTCTCTGCAAAGGAGACAGCCTTGAAAATTGTTAAACCGAGGCAGCTCGTGTGTCCTCTTTGTTCTCTGCTTCCCTGCTAGCAAAGATACGCACAGGTCATATTCCATACAAATGTCACCGTTCTTCTCTTCCACTAGGGGCTCAGGATCTGGATCGCATCCGTTTGTCCACCTACCGAACAGCATGCAAGCTTAGATTTGTTCAGAAGAAATGCAACTGTAAGTATGCCAGCACTTCTTTCACCTGCCATTGTTACAAGCTTTCCACTGCACTCTCCAGCCTGTCCTTCACACCACTGACAAACCGGGACTGCGTGATGTGGCATTGCAAAGGACACTAATCAGAGTGCCTGGGCAGACTTCAAATATTAACCTGTTTATATAAGGAACTTACCTCAAATATGCCAGTGATTCAGTCATAGAAGGGTGGGGCAGGATACAAGCCACAATTTTAATTAATAAGTATGTTAACTGCATTCTCCAATGTTCTTGTGAAATAGCATTTGTGAATTTCTGGGCCCTGCAGGGCCCTGCAAATTAAATGCTTTTATAGCAGCTCTGTGAGAAAAAAATGCTGCTTTTAGACCTCTTCTATTTAGGGTGAAGCAAAGTAAGTGCAATGTTGGTCAGACCCCTCTATTTCCAGAAGGCCAGCTAGACACAGCTCTTCTGAGACAGTGAACCTGCTTGTAATGTCTGTGTATCTGTCATAATCCCTTTAGGTTTTATTGAGAAATTTCCCACTTGATTAGTGACCTTTTTTAACTTCTCTTCTGAGATTCAGTCTTTTTCCCTTTACAGCTGCATTTTCTATTAGCACAGTCACGTGCTGTGAGCTTTAAAGGCGAAATACATATAAAATCCATAATGGAGTGTGTCCTTTCTTTTCCATCCAAACTAGTATGCAAATACTTAGAAGGGCAGATTTGGGTATATGTGCTTTACTGGACCTTTCCACACCAACTTAAAAAAATACCCTAACCAAGGGCACTCTTGTCAGCAGTAGGGAGAGGACCAACACAGAGAAAACAAGTGAGCTTTAGTCCTCACATACAGACTAGAATGACAGCCTGGCTATGCTTGTGCTACACACAGTGGTAAGTATGTTAAAAAATGCTCACTGTAGATAGAAATTTACCACCCTGTTAAGTTCCTAGTTTTGGGGTTACATCTGTCTGTGTTACAGAAATGTTTAGCTTATGCTGTCCAAACATACAGGAGAGGCCTACTTGTAAAGCAAAATATTTTGGAGAGTATTTACTGTGTTGTTAGCCACAGAGCGGATCGTTTAATCACTTTTGTAGCACACTTCTCATATTTTTAATATGTCCTTAGCTGATGTATGAATTGAAGGTTTGGTATAAGGCATTATAAGCAGTCTGCCAGACACAAAACCCAGGTGGGGTTTAGTACCTGCCCAGCAGCTGGTTTCTCCCATTCAGGAGCAAATGTGTTGAAAGATGCTATTATGTTGCATTCAGTTGGTTTTTTGGGTTTTTTTTTTAATCTTGTGTTTAGGAGGATGACATTTTCACTTCATTTTCATGGTAACAGAATACAGTAGTCTGAGGTGACAAAAGTATCCAATTAAATGGACGGTGATAGCAAAGTATGTATGCAACTGCATGCAAAGCAAATTAAAAAAACCTAAGGGCTAACTATAGCCTCCTTGCTGGGAGTGTCTGTCTGGCTGAAAATATACTGGTTGTTAATTTTAATTTTGTGCCTCTTATTTATGAACTGTGATCTGCTTTTGTGGAACTGTTGGTTCTCCTCATAGTGAATTAGTGCAGATGCCCTGCAGTTTGCCAGCTTGTGCCAAGGAGCTCATGGATGGGACTTACCTTCTGGTCTCCATTAATAACCTAGGAGGAGTAATTTGCTGATCTTGTTTAAAGATTTATACTGCATCACTCTCTTCTTAAGGAAAAAAAAAGTAAAAGGAGAAACTTGTAATGTCATGCTAAGTATTAGGTTCTGTGCAACTTAAGAAGTAATGCCTGCTGCTCTGGAACAGGCTGGATTGTGTGTGTCTTTTCACCATCAAGTACAGTTTTCCTCTCGTTGTTTCAAGTAGACTGCTGCTCTCCCAGATGAGTTTCTCTTATCATTGGGAAAAGAAGTCATTCATTCCCTTGGCAGGTATTCAAGCAATGGCTGTCCAAGAAAGAGCTGCTAAACATAGAGTCACTGAAGTGAGCACTGCCCTTGAAATGGTTAATAGCAGACCTCTGGCTCATGTCAGCTACTGTTTTGGGGGTTTTTCCCCCTACAGATACTGTCATTATGCACCACCCAGCAGTAATGAGACAAAAAAGAAAAAGGGGTCATGGGGAAAAAAATCCTTTCTGCTGCATCTGTGCTGCTTCATTTAGGGTAGAATATAACAAGAAAAAGCTCAAAGACAGTTCTGCTCCACTCCCAGTGCATAGCACCTCCTGTCACTCAAGCCATCCCTGTCTTCTTTCAGCTGTGCCCTCCTGCCCTGCCCTGGCACACTAGCCCAGAGTTACTAGGGAAAAATTGCTTTGAAAGACTGTATTTGAGGGGCTCTTTTAAAGAGCTAATTTAATAAATGGCTGAGAGTTGCTCTTGGCTACAGGCTGAAGGTGTATGAGGATGGAAGCAGAGAGCTGCTTTGAGTGCCAGAAGTGTTTGTTCCAAGGAAAGCAGAGCAGAGGCTTTATTAGCACCATCTTTTTTACCCGGAGGTGCCCATTAGCATAGGCAGTCATGGGATATCATTTAACAGGCAGCCACACTTGTCACACACAGTGCACTGTTTGTTTCTGCTGCCTTCAGTGCAGACACAGACACAGGTTCATCTCCTGGCCTCCCTTTGAGAATTCTTCTCTCAGTACAAAAGGTGGTTTTTGCTGAAACCTTCAACAGCAGGCTGGGTTTTACTGGCAAATAGGCAGTGTGCAATGGGCAAAAATCATATTCTCTCCATTGAGCCATTCTCTCTTGCAGTGTTTCTCCTGAAACTGGTTAAATTATCTGGGAAAAAATTAGAATATGACTGTTTGCCACCTTTTACCAGAATATCACTACATATGTTGCACCTTGAGTACTACCACTGTTGATCAAATAATTTGCTTTGTAAAATGATTCCATTTTCATAAGAAGTAGATTTCTTTGCAGATATTTAGCGAACAGTCTTCAAAAGTGCAACTGTATGTCTTTCTGACAATTCTATACAATTTTGGGAAAATACTCTGTTTGTGGAAAGTACTTCTTTTATTAAAATGTCTCTGATCATTTTAAAGTGACAGTTCAAATCAAAGTGTGAAAAAATCATTATCAGTCATTGCAATTATTTGTCAAACAGGATTGAATTTAATCCAGTCCAGCCTTGTTCTTCAGAAAAGCAAAAAATTCTTCCTAAGCACTCATGAAAAAGTATATAAATTTGAAACATCTCTGATGTTGTCTTTAAAAGAAAAATTCCTGCAATTTAAGCATTCCTCTTTACCTAAGTTAACACTGCAAATAAATAATAATAACATTTACAAATTATTGTTGCCACACCTCTGAATCTAGTAAGTGCCCAAATGTGAGATGCAGTGTATTACAAAAACCACAAAAGAAGGAGACATGCAAAATTCTGAATGCAGAAATTCTAAAAGCTGGGAAACCTTGTTAATTCACCATGAATAGAAACTAATTTTATGCTTTTTATTTCTGCTGACAATTTCTAAAATGGGAAATAATGAAAAGAGAAACTCTGTAGGTAATGTAGGTACTTTTGAGGATTTGGTGGGTATAGAAAGAGATAATTGCAGACTACTTGCTGATTGCTTTGCAGAATTCCTGTAGCAATAGACCTGTTGCAACAGCAAAGTCTTCCCTTAGTTATAAATACCAGCACAAGACATAGATGCCTTTTTTGGGGAAAAAACAAAAATTAAAAAAGAAAAAAAATACTAAATTCTGGAGAAGATATTGAGATTTGGGCATGAATATTCCAAATGAATGTGAAGACTTGTGGACAGATGGACCTTGGAGAACACATTGCTAGTGATTATGTCATCTTGAATCCCAGAATGTAAAGCCGGGAGTGCATGAGCTGACTGTGGCCACTTTACTGGTGGATGGTCTTGGATATAGTCTTGGAAATAGCAGCATCCTAATAATTTGAGGTAAAATTTCATTATTTGGGGTAATAAAAGAAACTAGGAAGCAGGTACAGGAATCTGATCCAACATGCTACATGTTTATTCCAGTCTGTACTGTACAAAATATACCAAACGGGAATAGCTGACCTTATCATACAGATTTTCTAAATGTGCTTCAAAGGTGGTCCAAGATAGTGCACACTGCAAGAATCAAGGAGGGAGATGCAAAAACTACAGGTGAGCACCGTGAGGTCTGAAACAGTCACAGAAAATCCTATGAACCAATGTTGCTCTCACCAAGTCAAACAGGAGAGTATTGTCCTTTACTTCACTGCAAGTGCATCATAGCAGGTTTTGGAGCACCAGAGTATATTCTCAGCAAACGCAGCTCCTGCTCAGCCCCCCTTGCTGTCAGGAAAATGCTGTCTTGACAAGGATGATTTGCTGCTGTTTGTCCATGGCATCCAGGCACAGAAGCATGTTAGGGTTTCCTAAAACAAGGATGAAAGACCCATGACAGCAGTTACACCTATGTCTCAACATCCACCAGTATCTGGAACCACCAAACCCACAATTTATAATTTTTCCCAGTGATCATTGTGCCACTGATTTATTTTAATACTTCTTTCTTGGTGAATTTATTACCATGCTGACATGAAATACCATGTTCACATGAAAATTCCCTCTGGAGTATGGTGACAACCAGGAGTAGGACATAACAACATCATAATCAAAACCATTATACCATTAAATATCACGCACTAATACAGAACTGTATGGCTGGAAAACTACTGCTGTCCTTGATGAACTATCCTAAATGTGTTGTGAGATCATTCTGTGCCTGTGACTGCAAAAGCAGATTTTGCTGATTTCCCTAGATCAGAATAAATCATTGACAGTTGAAAGTGTGAATCAAAAGCTGTGCTGGTGATGGTAACATGTGGCAATTAAAGCAGACAAAAGGGAGCTTGTTTTTCTGGCAGTTTAATCTCAACACCTTAGGGCGTTGGTGTCTTTGCTTTTCCCTTTACTATTGTTCAGTGTGAATGATTTTTTGTTGTTGTTGTTTAATTCTTTTGGCCTATCCAGGTTGTAGTACAG